TTGACATAAGGACACACCCTTAGAAGTATAGCCAAACTCAATTCCCAGGAAAAACTTTGCAGCTCCTAAATCTTTGATAGTGAATTGATCATCAAGGAACTGCTTTAAATTGTGAATCATGGGCAGAGAAGAACTTGTTATCAGAACATCATCCACATAGACTAATAGTGTCAAGAAATCTGCTCCTTTTGTGGTTGTAAAAAGGCAGTGATCATAACTGGACTGAAGAAGGCCATGTTGAGACAGTTTGTGACATAGCTCATTGTTCCATTCCCTTGATGCCTGCTTAAGACCATAAAGGCTCTTAATTAGCCTGCATACCTTCCCTTTACCTGCCTTTTCATATCCCAAAGGTGGCTGCATAAACACTTCTTCAGAGAGTGTCCCATGCAGAAATGCATTGTTCACATCCAATTGGTGTATTGGCCATCCTTTGTGAATTGCTACATCTATAAGGAACCTTACTGTTACCAATCTAGCCACAGGTGAGAAAATGTCAAAGTAGTGTATCCCTTCTATTTGATTATAGCCCTTAGCCACAAGTCTGGCTTTGAACCTTTCAATGGAACCATCTGCCTTTCTTTTTATTTTATAAACCCACTTGCTTCCTATAGCCTTTTTACCTGGAGGAAGATCAGTGATTTCCCAAGTGTGATTTGTTTCCAAAGCATCTAGCTCTCTCTGCATAGCTTCTACCCAAGAGGGATGTAAGACTGCTTGTTTGTAGTGAACAGGTTCCTTTTCAGTCAACAAATTTGCTAGGAACTTCTTTTGAGTAACCCCATGATCTACTCCATAATTGCAGGAGTAAAATTCCAATGGAGCATTGTTGTTGGCAGTCTGTGAGATGGATGAACTTCCACAAACATAATCATGGTGCCAAATTGGAGCCCCTTTGGACCTTTCACTTCTTCTTAATCTTGGATTAATTGCATCATGTACTGTTTCTGGTGCAGAAGATACTTCTTGTTCTGAGATATCATCTTCAATTGCCTGGGGTACAACAGCTTCAGTGATGTCTGATGCCTTGTAAGGAAAGATTTCTTCAAAGAAGACCACATCCCTAGATATGAAACACTCTCCAGTATCCATATTGTAAAGTTGATATCCTTTCTTTCCTGGAGTAGAACCAAGAAAAATGCATTTACTCCCTCTAGGCTCATATTTGGATTTGAAAGGATGAACTGTGGCTGCATATGTGAGACACCCAAAAGGTTTGAGAGTATCATATTCTGGTGGTTTTCCATACACTCTCTCAAAAGGTGTAGCCCACTGCAAAAGGGCACTAGGCAATCTGTTTATTACAAAGGTTGCTGCTAAAATAGAGTAAGGCCAAAACTTTAATGGCAGTTGTGCTTGATAAATCAAAGCTCTCCCTACTTCAAGTAGTTGCCTATGCTTTCTTTCAACCACACCATTTTGCTGTGGTGTGTAGACACAACTTGTCTCATGAACAATGCCTTTTTCTTGAAGAAAATTTTGTAACTCATTTCCCAAGAATTCCTTCCCATTATCAGTTCTTAACTTTCTCACCTTGGCATCAAACTGATTTTCCATCATTAATATAAAGCTTCTCAGAAACTTGAAAGCTTGTGATTTCTGCTCCATCAGAAAAGTCCAAACAGCTCTACTGTAGTCATCTACTATGGTTAAGAAGAAAGATGTACCTGTCATAGCCTCTTCTTTGCATGGTCCCCAGATGTCAGCATGTATCATTTCAAAAATTTTAGTAGCATGTATGTTGCTGTTCTGAAAGGGAAGTCTGTGTTGCTTTGCTTTGTGACACACCTCACATGACTGAACAGCCCTTTTTTTTGATCTGTGTATTGTCCTTTAAGAAATTGAAGGTGTTTCATGGTGCTGAGGCTAGCATGCCCAAGGCATTGATGCCATTGTTGCAAAGACAGCTTCTGTTTGACAGCATTAGTGTGCTCAAAATCTTTCTTGCTGAGAATGTATAAATTTCCCTTTGAAAAACCATGTCCTACCAACTGTCCATTATCACAGTGGTTTAAATAGCATGAGGTAGCTGAAAAGGAACACTGCACTTTCTCATCCATACATAGCTGACTGACTGAGAGCAGATTATACTTGAAATCAGGGACAAAGAGCACATTATGTAAAGTCAGATTTCTGTTCACATTCACAATGCCTGCAGTATGCACTCTTTTACTTGAGCCATCTGGTAAGCAAATAATGACAGGATCTTTCAAGGTGCATATGTTTTCCATAAGACTCAAATCTCCACACATATGCTTGCTGGCTCCAGTGTCTATGATCCAATCATCACAGCTTACATTATCAGCAATTGTCAAAGCAAAATGCATCTCATCATCACTCTCTCTCTTGTTGAAGCTCACCATTTGAGCAAAATCGACTTTGTTTTCTCCAGTCTCCTTCCCTTTAATGTACTGTGTTAATTCCTGCAGTTGCTTGACCACAAGAGAAAGATCACTTTCCTTTGCACTCCTTTTATCATTCACAATGTCTTTCCAATCCTCATTGCTGTCATATAACTCTACATTGCTGCCATAGTTCACTCCTTGTGACTTCAATTCTTTATACCACTCAGGAACACCATGGATTTTAAAACATGTGGCTACTGTATGTCCCCTCATTCCACATTTATCACACATAAGCTTGGCCCTTTCTTCTTTACTAAGTCTGGTGAAGCCTCTGCCACCTCTACCACTCATCAAATTACCTCCCCTACCACCAAAACCTCTTCCTTGATTAGTTAACCCTCTACCATATCCCTCAGATCTTATACTCATGGCCATATTATCAACTCTATCAAATGAATTATTCACAGCTCTTTGCCTTTCTGCACTGAGCACCATAGAGTAGGCCTTATTCACACTTGGTAGAGGATCAATCAACATGATTTAATTCTTCAGATTATCATATCCTTCATTTAATCCCATGAGGAATTGTATAAGCTTGTTTTCAGCTTCATTTCTGGCTACTATCTTCCCTTTGTCACAACTGCAGGATTGAGTAGGAACTACACATGCATATTCATCCCACAGCTTCTTCAATTTGTTAAAATACTCCATTACAGTACAATTTCCTTGAACTAAAGTACTGATTTCTCTTTGCAATTTATACTTCATTGGTCCATTACTCTCTCCAAATCTCATACACACTTCATCCCAAAGATCCTTAGAGGTTTCAGCATAAACAAATGATTCCGCAACATCTTTTGACATAGAACTTAAAATCCACGACAAAATCATCCAATCAACCTTTTTCCAATCCTCATATTCATCACTATCAACATCAGGTTCAGAAATCTCACCATTAATGAAGCCGAGCTTCCTTTTTGCTCCTAGAGCTATCATCATCGATCGACGCCATGAAAGGAAGTTGCTACCAGTCAATGGATGTGAAACAAGCACCAAACCAGGATTATCGGATCCATGAAGGAAAAGCGGATCGTGATTCCCCTGTCGCCCACCAGATCCAGTCACATTGCGAGTGTTATCGCGCATCGTCGCCATTATTCTTCAATCAGTGAGCTCGCCCAGAATCGATCGCTCTAGATACCATGTAGAAATCAATATTTTCCTCACAAAATCACAACATCAATTTTGGGATTTTCTTAGCTCATATTATTCAGAAAGCTGAAAATCAAAATGAAAGTATGTACATGGTTGAGCTTATATAGAGCTCTCACAGTCATGCAAGAAGACAACCGAAAACGACGTCGTGTGCTATATCCTAAACGACGTCGTACAAAGCTTTAAAGCTAAACTAATAAAACGAAGCTGAAACGGCGTCGTCTCTACTGAACGACGCCGTTTGAATAACAAAAGAAAATACAAAGCAAATAGGATAAAAACGGAACGCGACTTTGAGAAGCCCGATTTCAGAGAGATGCCCATGCAGACTCATGCAGGCTTATGAAAAACAGAGGAGCTGCTCATGATCTTCAACAAAGAATGACCCTGACTTTTAAATGGAACCCTAAGATTAGAAGGAATTGGTACTGCTGGAACTTGAATAGAATCCTAAGATTGATTATTTATAATATGATAATTTACTTAGACAGTCAATTAAATGAGCTGTTGGTTTATCATTTTAATATCATTATACTTGATTAGTTAAATATTATTCACTAATATTTTTTTATAATTATTTACACAAATAGATTGACCTTAACTATCAAATGGAACCCTAAGTTCATAAGAAATTGGTGCCGCTGTAACTTAAATGGAAGTATAAGATTGATCTATTTATAATATGATAACTTATATGATAGTTCGAATCCATATAAATATGATATATGGATCTATCCATATAAATTGGTCGTCAATCATTCTACAATTAAATGAATCTATATATTAACCACTATTTTTATTATTGGTTATACCATAAAGCAAATAAATAAATATTTAAAGATTTAAACCAAAAAGCAAATCAAACGAATCTAGTAAGAAAAATAAATACAATCATTGGGCTCTATAATTTATGAAATGCTACAGTCTCGTTACAGAACCATTTCATCAAGATTTATAACCGATAACCATCGTCGATACTTGATTTTCTAATGCCTTTTGATTTATGGGATTTAAAATTTTAAAACGTTCAATTTCAGTTATTTCTAGTCTTCTACGAAGCTAATAAACCGTTTCCAGGTAAGTAATTACGTGACGCAATGTATTATTATGCAAAAATAAAAAATAAAAAATAAAAAAAAACTCACAAGAGTGAAGTCAGCACTCTACGGCGAAATTCAAAGAAACTTCGCTTGATTGTGGCGCCGTCCGATTTGATTCCACGTTTTCTATATCATACTTTTAATTTATTTTAATTAATTAGTACTCCGTTCATTTCAAATAAATCTCTCTCCCTATATATATATATATATAAAGTTCCAATTTAAGCCTCAACAATTCACTCTCTCTTGTGCAGCGACCAAACAACTGTCAGAAAAGGAAAAACAAAAAAGGCCAAAAAAAAAAGGACAAATTTTGAGAAAAAAGCTTGCGTCATCATCAATGGCGATCGGTGGAGCAATTAGCAGTGGTGTTGAAAATGTACATTACAATGGCAGAGTTACAGTGACCGTTATGCTTTCATGTATTATTGCCGCCACCGGTGGACTCCTCTTCGGCTATGATACTGGAGTTACTGGTAATTTATTTTTTGGTTAATTAATTTCAAAGTAATTCATGTTCTTATTGTATAGGAAATTTAATTTGTCTAATAATGTTGATAAAACTCAGAACTTCTTTCAATTTTCGAAAATCTTACAAGATGTGCTCTTTTGGTGTAGGTGGAGTGACCTCAATGGAGGCCTTCCTCAAGAAATTCTTCCCTCAAGTCTACACAAACATGAACTCCAATACACAAGTCAGCAACTACTGCAAATTCGACAGCCAGCTCTTGACGGCGTTTTCGTCGTCAATCTATGTATCCGGCCTCATTGCCTCTTTCTTTGCTTCGCGCGTAACTATGGAGTATGGCCGCAAGCGTTCTATAATCTGCGGTGGGATCGCGTTTTTCAGTGGGGCCGCCATTGGCGGTGCTGCCGAAAACCTCTACACGCTGATGATGGGACGTCTCCTGCTCGGAGTTGGAGTCGGTTTTGCAAACCAGGCTGTTCCGTTGTACTTGTCAGAAATGGCTCCCTCGAAATATAGAGGAGCCTTCAACTTCGGTTTCCAATGCTTTCTCAGCATCGGGAGCACGGGCGCCTTCCTCCTCAACTACGTCACCTCCAAAATCAGTGGCGATCTCGGGTGGCGAATTTCTTTGGCTACGGCTGTCGTCCCTGCCTCTGTCCTCATCCTCGGCACACTCTTTCTCCCCGAGACCCCCAACAGCCTTATCCAACGGGGGCACGACACGGAGGATGCCAGGAAGCTCCTCCAGAAAATTCGTGGGTCGGACGATGTGGAGGCTGAGCTGGACGACCTCCTTTCTGCCACGTATGCAGCCCAGCAGATGAAGGCCCCGTTTGGGAAGATCCTGAAGAGGCGTTATCGACCCTACCTGGTAATAGCAGTGGCTATCCCATTCTTCCAGCAGATGACGGGGATTGCGGTTATATCTTTCTACGCCCCAATTCTGTTCCAGACGATCGGGTCAGATGAAAGTGGGTCTCTCATGTCTTCCCTGATAACATCCTCCCTCGGGATTGTCTCCACGGTGCTCTCGTCCCTGCTCGTGGACCGTGTTGGTCGGCGGGTCATCTTTGTTCTTGGTGGGGTCCTCATGTTCGCCACCCAGATGGGGATTGGGGGGATCATGGCCGAGAAGCTCGGAGACCACGGGGCATTGAGCCCGGGCTACAATTCTGCAATTGTGGTCTTGATATGCGCGTATGTGACGGCGTTTGGATTCTCGTGGGGCCCGCTCGGGTGGCTGGTGACGAGCGAGATCTTCCCATTGGAGATACGTTCGACAGGGCAGAGCATAACTGTGGCAGTGAGCTTCTTATTCAGTTTCGTGATAGGGCAGGTGTTTTTGGCAATTCTGTGCCATCTCAAGTCGAGGACATTCTTCTTCTTCGGGGGATGGGTGGCGTTCATGACGGGCTTCGTTTTCTTCCTACTGCCGGAGACGAAGAATGTGCCGATCGAGAAGATGGATAGGATATGGAGGGAGCATTGGTTCTGGAGGAGGTATATGAGTGATGACGATGATGATTTGGATTGGATGGAGGACAACATTGAGGAGCCCTTGTTGAAATCCACCAGATAAATAGATTTTGTTGTTGCATGCCTTTCATTGTACAAAAATGGTGTTGTTTTTTATCTAGAGAAGTTCAATACAATACTATGAATGGAGATGTTGATTCTAAATACAGTGGTTTTAAATCTTTAAACATAGTTTTCTTGTTTATGCAAATCAATCACAAATCCCAAATCCCAACCAGACATCACCATCTGAGGAGTGAGGCTTGTGTGTTCTAGGCTTGAGAAGA